AACACCGTGCCGGACATGAGTCATTTTATTCCAGCAACTCTGCTGTTGCTCAGAATAGTTTTGGCACATTTATACCCCCAATTACTTCTAAAACCAGGAATATTTTTAATTCAATAAAAGAAAAGTAGGTTTGGTTTTTTTTGTTTTTTGTTTTTTTATTTTCATGCCTCATTCTTGATCCAAAACAATCTTATTCAGCATGGTAAGGTGCTTGGCACATAATAGACAAATACTAATAACAGCTATAACTTATGTAGCACTGAGGACATACTGGCCCTGTTCTAAAGCTCTATATACTCATAGAACCATTTAATCCTCACACCACCCCTATGAAATAAGTACTACCATTTTCTCTAATTTCAACTGAGGCATAGAGAAGTTAAGTAACTTGCCCAAGGTCACACAGCAAGTACCTGGAATAGCTGGGATGTGAACCCAAGCACAAACTCTGTTATCTCTACATGAATATTTATTGAATGAGTGAACAGGCGATCAGCTACTTTGTTTACCCAACTTGGTCCCAACCGACTTCCTGGTTTCTGTTCTTCTATTGAGGATATGGGGAAATGTTCAAAGTGAGATGGAAATTTTCTGGTACCTTAGTTTTTCAAATGAGTCTCATTACACGATACTCAAATCGCCTAATTCTGGCTTTCCACTGAAGGCCATCTTAGTTGTCAAAATCTCTGTAAGTCATCTTAGCCACCCCTCCACCTTGCCCTCTTCAGACACGGGCTCAGGTAACTCTCACTCCCTTCGCAGGCAAAGAAAAGTCTTGTCAGAACATGGCAACACTAGTTATAATAGCCAAGACATGGAAGCAACCTAAATGTCCTTCGACGGACGAATGGAGAAGAAAGACGTTGTACGTATATTCAATGGACTATTACTTGGCCATTAAAAAAAAAAAGATAAAACATTGCCGTTTGTGACAACATGGATGGGCCTTGAGGGTATTATGCTAAGTGAAGTAAGTCAGATGGAGCACAAAAATCATACGATTTCACTCATGTGGACTGTGGGAAGAAAAATTAACAAATGAACTAACAAAACAAAAATAAACTCAGAGATAGGCAACAGACTTGTGGTTACCAGAGGGGAATAGGGGTTCAGGGAAGGACGAATCGGGTTAAAGGAGTCAAATATATGGTAACGGATGGAAACGAGACTTTTAGTGGTAAGGATGCAATTGACTATGTAGGTATTGAATTATAATGTACACCTGAAAATTTATATAATATTACTAACCAATGTTACCTCAATAATTTTTTTTTTTTAATCTGCAGGAGGTTAGTCACAAAGCTTGAAGAAACCCTGTCCTCAGGCCAAGGGCAAAGAAGAGTCTGGAATGTGGAGAGTAGAAGCAGCCCTCACCCATTCAAGGGGCTTTGATGGGGGCAGGGAGGGGCAGCAGAGGCAGGTCATGGGGAGCAGGAGGAATGCCAGCAGAACACCACAGGGGGTTACGAACCTGGGGTCATGGGGGAGGGGGGCACCAATGGAGGCGGCAGGGGTAGCATGAGGCTGTGCGCTCCTGACTGTTGACAGTTACATTCAAGGGGACAGGGATGTGGTAGTTCAAGGTCTGTCAGGTTCATCTAGTCAGCATCCCAGGCAGCTGGGTAGAGAGGCTGACAAGGGCCAAGCAGGGTCTCATAGCCACTGGAACCAGAGTGCAGGGCCAGGATCTAGTCCTGGAGGAAAGCCAAGTAGAAATGTGATCAAAAGGCCCGGTCAAGTGGGCAAGCATGCCAGCGAGGCGAAGGCTTCCCCTGGGACACCGGTGCCTGGCTCAGCGCCCAAGGCCAACTCCATGTCCAGGCAGGGGACATGGCGCCCCTGACTCTCTTCCAAGATTGGTCTGAACTGGCCTGAGTCTGCAGCAGGTGGAGCAGGACTAAGGAAGGAGGGCTGTGCCACTGTCCCCTGATAAAAGGATGAAGTTGTCACCCATGCAAGGAAGCCTGACCATGTATGTAGGGTCTCATAAAATCAGACACTAATGGTGGTCGTTTATTAAAGTGCCTACTCAGAAACCCTACACAAGAAAGGGTGCCGTGTCTGGAAAAATCTTTGCAAAGATAACATTGTCCTTCAGTTTTTTTGAGGTGACAGCTTAGTGAAATGCGTTTATACTCTGAGTTGCATTTCCAGGAGCAAAATGTCAATGGACCTCACATTGAGATCCTCTCTGCACATGTCAGAGTTTAATTATTTTTTTTAATTTACCTAACAAAGAAACTATATAAGATGAACTGACTTGAAAAGAAAAGGAAAAAATGAGATAGAAAATAGGTCTTAATAGATATGCAGCCATTCCTTAAAAAGAAAGATGAGACAAAGATAGAGATAACAGAGCTAGAGATACAGATACAGATACAGATATTTTTTGCCATTCTGTACATTACATCCCCAGGACTTACTCCTCTTATAAGTGGAAGTTTGTACCTTTTGACCACCTTCGCCCATTTTGTCAACCCTCCCACCCCCCACCTCTGGCAATCACCAATCTGTTCCCTGTATCTATGAATTGTTTTGTTTTGTTAGATTCCACACACAAGTGAGATCATACAGTATTTGTCTTTCTCTGACTTATTTCACTAAAAGGAAGACACCAAGTGCTCTCTCTTTGAAACAATTGACGTATTACACGTAACTGTTTAAGAAGAAACACCATAAAAGATGGGCATACCCAAGGCTATATAACGGAGTTGAAATATTTTATTACTTATAAGAATGGGCAGAATCAACATGCATTTACCCACCAATGTGACTCCAGGAATCTCCTACCTATAAGACACTCCACAAAGCAACCATTCCCCACCCCCAGCACTCAATGGACTATGACACTTCCCCAGGTCTCTATCGCCACTAAATTCTACTCCATCTCATGAAGCAAGGGCAGAAATAGTCAGTGAGGACGCTGCACAGATGGGACGTAATGTTAGTATTTACAAAAGGTGATTTTTTTTTTAAAGTTTGTCATGTTAATATAAAGGAAAAGAGTGAAAAATAACTTCACAACATGTCATTACTGCACTTTTGGAAAGAGTTTTCTATTACTGGGAGCTGTATTTATCCCCCACAAGTCAGAAACCTCAACAAACAAACAAAAAAGTGAAACAGACACAGTATTAAAAAAAAAAGTGAGATGCCATATTTATCGGGCATATCTACTAAGCATATTTCACACATATACACACACAATTGATACAGATATCGTCCAAAATGTTGATTATAAAATCTTAAGGCATCTCACTGCACTTAGAAATGACTGACAGAGCCTTTCTTCTCATCCTCGCCACCACGTCAAGACTCTACTGACAGTCCTTCATGAAAAGATATCATTTCACCATATTGCCTATCAGCCCCTTCACCACCCCCACGCTCTTCAGGGAACTGTCTGTGCCCAGAAGTCGTTTTGTTTTTTTTCAGGTTGGGTTATTCATTTTAACTGTGAGATAAATATTAAGTCCCTAATAGCATGTTTGCACTGTGCCCACAGAGCTACACAGCTTCTTCCGTGCATGGTATGCATAGGGATAACACTTCATAAATGAATACACTGTTATCAAATAGCAAAAAAAAAAATACATAAGTAATCCAATTTAAAATGGGGAGGACTTGAACGGGCATTTTTCCAGAGAGCACAGGCAAATGGCCAACAGGTAAATGAAAAGAGGCTCAATATCACTAATCACCAGGGAAATGCAAATCAAAAACACAACAGGATATCACTTCACATCTGTTAGGGTGTCTATTATTAAAAAGACAAGGGTCGGCCCAGTGGCTTAGTTGGTTAAGAGCTCCCTCAAGAGTACTGAGCTCTGAGCCACGGCGGTTAGATTTCCAACCTGAGCTGAGCTGCCACTGAGCTGCCAACAGGTGGCAGGATGGCTCAGCTAAAAAAAAAAAAAAAAAAGAAACAAGAGGTTAACAAACGCTGCCAAGCATATGGAGAAAAGGGAACCCTCAGACACTGCTGGTGGAAATGTAAATTGGTGCAGCCACTATGGAAAACAATATGGAGGTTCCTCAAGACATTAAAAGTATTAATAGAACTACCTTATTCCCCAGCAATCCCACTTCTGGGTATATAATTCAAAGGAAATGAAAACATTATCTCAAAGAGATTTCTGTACCCCCGTGTTCCTTGCAGCACTATCGATAACAGCCAAGGTATAGAAACAACCTAAGTGTCTGGATGGATAAGTAGATCAAGGAAATGCGATGTATGCACATAGTGGATTATGCAGCCTTAAAAAAGAAAGGAAGCTTGCAGATGACTGACAACCTGGATGAAGCCAGAGGGCACCCCGCTAAGGGAAATGAGCCATACCTGCAAAGATAAACACTCCACGGTATCGCTTACCGGTATATGTGGAATCAAAAGAAAAAAAAAGTCAAACTCATAGAAACAGTAGAAAAGCGGTTGCCAGGCGTTGGGACTGAGAACACGGGGGGAGGTTCCGAGGATCTAAGGTATAACGTGACTACAGTTGATTACACTGTGTTGTATAACTGAAATTTGCTGAGAGTAGAACTGGAATTTTCTCACCAAAAAATAAAAAAATAAATTAAAATAAATAAATAAATATTTTTAAAAATTTTTTTTAAATGAATACACTGTTAGACCAAATTTCATCAAATTTGGCCTGTAACCATTTCCTTTTCCTTAATATAAAAAAGAAAAAAAGAAGAAGAAAAAGAGGACAAGTCTGCAGTATGCGGTCTTGGGACGTGCTCAGCGGCCAAAAGCGCACCCGGCTGCCCGGGTCCCAGCGCCCGCACCTTCCTCGGCCCCGCGCTCCCCGCGCCACTGCTGCCCCAAGCTCTCCGGCCCCCCGATCCCTGCGTCCCCGCGCCCCGCCACCCCCGGCCCCCGCGCGCCTGCTCCCGGGTCCCTCGCGCCCCGCTGGAACCCCCGCTCCCCGGCGTCCCCAGCACCCGCGCCACCCCTGGGTCCCGCGCCCCCCGCGCCCGCGCCTCCTGGCCCTCACCATGCGCCGGGCACTCCCTCGCTCCGCGGCCCGGCTGGGCTGCAGCCGCGGCGAGCTCAGAGCCACAGCGGGGCCGGCACAGCCCGGCCGGCGGCCGGTCCTCGGAGGAGCTGGTCCAGGCCGAGCGCTGCCTTCCCCTCCGCGCAGCCCTTCGGAGGTGGGCGGAGCGGGGTGGCGACGCGCACGGGAAAGCTGATAGGTGAGGAGGCTGGCGGCGGGGCGGGACACGCGGGGCGCGGCGGCTGGGGGTCGCCCCGAACCCCAGCCCTCGCCGGGCGAGCAGCTCCGGGAACGGGCAGAAGCCCCGCGCTGAGCGCAGGGGGAGCTGGCAGGCGCTGTGCAGCGTGCACCTCCGCGGCCCAGAGGGAACAGCGTCTTCCCTGAGCACCAGACGCTCGCGGCTGTGGAATTTGCTCACATCCCTTTAGGTGGATTCTTTGAGTTCACCTCCTGCCCTCCCAGGGGATGGTCCCAGAGTTAACTTTGAAAACACTCTCCGTCCAGGGAAGGCAGCGCGGTCCTGTGCTCCCCCAAACCCCACATGCCTCCAGAAAGAACACCCTCCCCCCTTCCAGAAAAGAGATGCTTTTTCATAGCAAACGGTTTGGTAATGAGCCATGAGTCAAGGTCAGGTGAGGGAATGGGAAGTTATGGGGCTGTTTAATCCTTAGGACAACTGAGTGAAGTGGGTGCTATTCCAATTCCCATTTCAGGGATGAGGAAACTGAGGCACAGAGAAATTAATTAAAGGGGATGATTAGTGAGATAGATGAGATGTTGCCTGTGGAACCCCAGCTTTCTCTGGTGGGAAAAATATACAAATTGTGTGCGTGCGTGCGTGCGTGCGTGTGTGTGGTGTGTGTGTATGTGCGTGTGTGTGTGCGTGCGTGTGTGCGCGCGCGCGTGTGTGTGTGTGTGTGTGTGTGTGTGTGTGTGTGTGTAGAGAGAGAGAGAGAGATCGAGTTGGTAACATATCATTGTTCGCCTGATTCAGTAGTTGTCAGCCCTGGCTGCACAGTAAAATCGCCTGGAAATTTTTGATAATCCCTAGTGCTCAGGCTCCGCCACAAGCCAAACGAATCGGACGTCTTTCCCTTGATCGCGCATCTTCAGTAGCGTCAGAACAATGCCAGGCCTTATTTCCCGGTGGTTAGCATGTGATCCTTCCTGGACAAAGATGAAGTGAGCTAACGTGGGGGAGGGGTGAAGAAGACCCCTCCCCCTTCCGCAAATATTTAGTGAGATGGACTGCCAAGTCTTAAAAGATGCAGAATCGGTTGAGGGTTTCAGAGAAAGAAAGAAGCCTCCAGAAGGAGAAGCTGTGGGTTGGAGGGAGGGGCTGAGGAGCAAGGACCCAGTAGCAGGGGGGGGGGCACTCGCTCAGCAGCCTGGATGGTTCCACTCCCCAGAGCTTCTGCAAGCATCCAGGCTTTTATGCATCAGACTCCTGGGGTGACCAAATGGGCCTGGCACCACCAACTGAGCGCTGTTAGCCAGCACAGCCAAGCAGGATGCAGCCTCACAGCCATTTGATGGGGCTGGCACCAGCCCAGAGGGCTAATGAGGTAAAATCCGCTCTCCCTCCACACCTCTGCCCTCTCCCTCCCTGCCTATGCCCCCTTTGCCTCCATGTGTCACACCTCTGTCAGCCACAGACACCTTACCTCAGTTGGCTCACCTGACTAGCTTTGGGCATCCCAAGGGACTGTGACACAGGGCAGGTGTTTTTAATTGAGATGAAGAGAGCAAGGAAAGTGCGGGCCCCCAGAAATGGTACCCCAGGAGAACAGAGCTGAGAGGTGGAGAGCTAGTGTCCCAGCAGGGCCTCTGCAGGAGAAGATGTTCCAGCTGAGACTGGAATGATGACAAGGCCACAGGAAAGTGAGGAGAGAGGCTTCCGGGCAGAGGGGAGGCCCTGAGCCAGGAATCTGCCTGCCCACGGCTCAGTATTACCATGTGGAAAATGGGCTAACGGAGCCAGCCAGGCCGCTAGGTCAGTGTGCACAAATCACATAGCCGTGGACACACCTGTCATGTAAGTGAAAGCTCAGTTCCTGGACCGGAGCTCCATCTGCAGCCCTGAGGCTGGCCTTTGTGACGCTGCCTGCGAAAGGAGCCCTCCAGTGGCCTGCTCTGTCCCCTCCCCTGTGGCTAGGCCATGCAAACTGTTCCCCTTGAGAGGCAGCTGCACTCCTACCCATATGTCCCCAGCCCTCATCCCACACCACTTCCAGAGCATGGACCGTGACTGCCAGTCAAACATCCAGACTCCCCAGGCTGCTGAGACTCTAACCTCAGCAGCTCCCAACGTCAGCACAACTGATATTTTGGTTCTTTGTTGGGGGGACTGTCCTGTGTGTTGAAGGATGCTTAGCAGGACCCATGGCCCCTATCTGCTAGATGCCAGGAGCACACCACACTGCACACACTGCACACACCACACCGCACACACACCACACACACACACACCACACACACACACACACACCACACACACACACACACCACACACACACACACACCACACACACACACACAACCACACACACCACACACACCACACACACACACGTATGTGTGCGTGCGTGCACAGTTGTCTCCAGACGTTGACACGTGTCCTGAGGGCAGGAAATGACCCCGTAGAGAGTCTCGCTCTCATAGGAAGGCATGGGACCCAGCACCCCACAAATAGCAGCAGAGCACATTTTATCCGTGATGGCCCCATGGAAGAGGGCAATTTCTCAGACTGGAAGGTTATATCTACTACATAATGGGGCCCCTGGCCAAACAACAGCCTTCTTGTGCTTCTTAAACTGGCCAGGATTATTCCCATCTGAGGATCTGTGCTCCCCCTCTTCCCTCTTATGGAATGTTCCTCTCCCAGATATTCAGAGGACTCTCCCTGGCTTCACCCAAATCTTGCTCAGAGACCACCCGGCAGGCGGTCCTTCCCCGAACACTGTCTAATGCACACAGCCCCTCACCCCACACCCCACACCCCTGCCCTTGGTCCTGCTTTGCTGCCTGACATCTCCGCCTACCGAGTCCATCTACTCCTCTGGTGCTCTGCGGGCCCCTTCCAGTACAGGACTTCAGGGCGCACCACCGTGTCCCCAGCAGAAGGTTCGGCCTGGCACAGACTATTGTTCAACAATATTTATTGAATAAATAAGTGAAGGCATGAACAAACAAAGGGCAGGGATGTGAGCGGTGGCCAGAGGGAACTGAGAAAGCGGGGAGCTCTTTTATGCCATTGAGTAGGGTCTCAGGAAGTCGCTGGGGGCACGGGAAGGTCCTCCCCAATTTATCCATGCTGCTGATGGGGGCGGGGTGCATACTTCTCCCTCATCTCACAGAGGTCAGAGGCTGGCCAGCAGGAAATCCTGTACTTCTGATGGAAGGACCTGGGTAGACCCAGCCTCTGTGGCTGAGACAGTGCCAGTGACTCTCGTGCAAATTTAGAGAACTGATCAGAGGTTCTTTGAGGCCTGGAAAATCGTGTTCTCTAGGGAACACCACTACCCTAATTAGAATAAGTGTGCCAGAAAGGATTTTCAGGCCCACAGCAGTTTTCTGAAACGTTAAACAAAGCTGTCGTGGGGCAAGGTGAGGGCTGTGGGAGCTGATATTCTGCACTCCGAGGAAAGGGCTGTTTCGTAGCATCTGGTGTACGTGCCCGGGGTGTGGCTAACAGTCCTGGGGCCCCAGTGGGGCACACTGCTGCCCCATCAGGGGGACATCCTGCTCGCAAGGCCCACAAAAACCTGGCCCACCTGGGCTGACCCCATCCCCCACAAAGAGGCTGGCTATTCCCCACCTGGGTGGGGGCTGCAGCGTCATTGTAATCCCCACCCCTCCAGGGGGGGGGGCCGAGGAACCATGGCTGGAGCAGGATGGCCCCTGTGGTTATGACACGACAAGACTATGGCCAGTCACCCCCTAGGTCAGGGAGACTGTGGCCCCTCATCCTCTAAGTAGATGGGACCACACCTTCCCAGACAGTGATGGGACTCACACTGTGAGTGGGACCACAGAGGGCAGTCGACACTGGTTTCAGAACAGATTAGGGGAGGACGGCTGCGTTCACATGACTCCCGTCACCTCTGAAAAAATAGAGCCCTCCAGCCCTCAGGCCACACACAGCCCAAGTCCAGTTAGCAGTATATAAACTTGCATCATTAAGTTTTGTATTTCGTACTTTCGTGGAAGTATTTTCTTTTATTATTCCAGAATAATGCAAGTTTCTGGCACATGAAAAACCCAAGTTTTTCTTAGAAAATGACCACGGATTCTCAGCTGTTGGGGTGGCTGTTTGTACTAAATTCTCATCATCATGTTCCATCATTCACCCAGGGGTATGCTCCCCTCGAATCTCCACTGAGGACCTGAGGATCTGAATGAAGCTCACCAGACCCTAAAATAGATGTTCATCTTGAACCTGAGGCTAGAAGCTCCACGCTGGATGGGTGATGGGGAGGGAAGGGCGCAAAGGGCCTGCGCAGCTGGCTCCTGCAGCCTCTGGCTCTGCTGTGACGGGGCTGCCCTGTCAGCTCCCAGGCCACACAGTGAGTGTGGTGACAGAGTCGTCCTGGGCATTTCAGATAGCGCCACCAGCGCAACCAAAGGCCGGGGACACTCCTGGGGCACCCTGTGCTTTCAGTGTGATAATACTTAACAATTCTAAGTCATCTTTTGTTGTAATTCCATGTTTCATTGTCATATTAGGAAGCCACACCCCTACCTCAACAATGTCTTTGGTGGCAATCTCAAGAAACCTGTTCTTAGAGGGCCATCTCATTCTTGTCTGAGAAGCTTTCTTCCTGGTGCTAAATGATTTCTTTGAGGTGTTGAAAATCAACTTCACACTCAGATTTTTCTACGATTGAGGAGACTTTTACATGCCCTGAGCTCTGCAAGCAGCTCCTAGAGAAGCACATTGAAGAGAAGGTCCACTCCCAGGACCATTTGCAAGACAGGACATTCGTTTCAAGTGCATAAATCCTGGAGCATTGGCTTAATACATTCATCATCCTTTGCGGAGGGCACATAAAAAAGATGAAAGTCATTCTCTTTCTCCTTCGGGGACACCCAGTGGCAGAGAGAGACCAACTGGTCAATAACAGACCATGTTAGGAGTTGGACCTGGACGTGAATGTGAACAGATTAACAACGTGTGATGCGCATACAGAGGAAGAGAGCCGGTGGTTCTCACTGGGGGCTGGACTTCATTTTTTGTTTTCCAAATATTTTTTGAGCATCAGAAACTCTTTTGTCAAGTAGAATGTGTGTGTGCCTCCAATATTCTGAAATGATTTAGGTCAGAGCTGTTC